AGTAAGTTGATTGCCTATTTTACAGTCCTAAATTTATTTGGTATAGAAAAGCTTTGATATTTTACAAACAGATATAAAGGTTTGGAATATAATCTAAAAGCAGTGGGGTTTAAACAGTTACTTGGTTTTGACATCCCATTTAAATGGTAGCAGGCCTAGTGGTGGTCTGCGAAGGGGTACAAGCTATGATAACATCTTCATATTCGGATCAAGTCATCCAACAGAGATATATTTTGCCCCCAAACTGTTCAGATTAACTCAAAATGATTTTCAGGCTTTTTTTTAGTGATATTAATTAGCTCCATCCAGATTTGTGGCTAATTTCTCTGGTGTTTTTAATTGTTATCCTTCAGATAAGTTAAATTAATTTGTTTGTTTTCACAGATAGGGCTTATTAGGCTAAGGGAAGCTGTGTATGTCTTCCTCTTCCAAAATATAGGATATAGTTTTTCACTGTACAGTCAGAATTCAGTTATAGAAACAAAAGGGGGAAAATATACCTATAATTTCACTTGTCAAAGTATACTATGAAAATTTAAAAACTGTTCAACAGATGGAAGCACAGCAATGGAAAGATAGTTCAAGAAGGTAAAGCAACAAGAAGCTAATATAACATAGAGGATTGTGTTTTTCTAGAGAATTCTGAGTGACTATTTGCATACCAGAGTATGCTGTCAGGCTGCAGCATGAAGCCAGATCTGGAGAAGTTGACTACCATAAGGCTAGGTTTGACCCGGGGCCTATTGAAGGAACTGACTGTTATGGTTTATATCTAGTTGATCCCCAAAACCTCATGAAGTCATGGGGTGGACTTCTAGAGTTTGTGATTAGCTCATGATCCACTGGGATTAAGGGTGTGAGTACTGCACCTATCCTGGGGCTGATAGCCTGAATGCAACATGAGGGAGACACACTTGTTCTCTGTAGCCATTGTTGCTGCTTTTGCTTTTGCTCTTTGCTGTAGCCATGAAAGGCTGCTGTTCGCCACATGCAGTCAGCCAGCTGACTGAAACCTCCAGTAACTGTGAGCTAAATAAACTTTTCCTTTCTTAAGATAAGATAAAAATATAAAGTGTTAAGATAAAAATATAAAAAAGTATATTAATGTTAGGTAAAAGATTCAGTTCCTTCCAAATTCTGTTATCTCTAATTGATAGATAACAAAATCAGACTAGTCTATTTATAATTATAAATGTCTAAAAATTTTAATAGGATTACTATAGTTCATTTTGGTCAAGAACATATGTCAGTGCACTGTGATGTTTGTGTGGTCTGTGTACTTGTTTATGTATTTGTGTGTCATTCTGTGAACTGTTCCTCTTTGTGTTTGAGTGTTAGGATACAGACTTAAAAGCATGGTTTCTCCTGAGTTATCAGCGGGTCTAAGTGATATCAAAGTTGATTTACCGGCAGGTCATCAAAAAATTAGGATAATTAAACAAAAATTCCATAGAGTGTTGAGTGTTGGACAGAACTCCAATTAGTGACTAGAAGGGTGGACAACCTTTGTTCATTAACAGGGAGCCCCAATAATGTCCCTTGTGTCTTCAAAGACACCCCCAATAATTTGGTCACTCCTTAAAAGATAAAGTTTTTTGTTTTTGTTTTTTTTTTTTTTTGCAGAACCGGGGATTGAACTCAGGCCCTTGCGCTTGCCAGGGAAGCGCTTATTCCACTGAGCCATCTCCCCGGCCCTAAAAGATAAAGTTTTTCAAAAAATTAAAATAAGATTTTCTCATAAAAGATCCTCTTGATACAAAACTAAATTAAGAAAGATTTTCACGTCTGTGGTAATTCATTATTGCTAGTCTCATGGCGGATTGCATGTATTCATAATTATAGATGTATAGTTCTTCCAAAATGTAAAATAGAGATTTCTTATTGTGATAAGGCTTTTCTTTCAGATTCAGACCTCTACCTTTAACACAAACTTGTGATGTATATCCTATTAAAGAATGACAAATAAAGTAAAAGCTTTTTATGTATTAGAGATGACTGGTTAAAAGCATTATATTGTGTCAAAATGAAAATTCAAGTATGTTACAAAATGTCATCAGGATTGTCCTGTTCCCAAGTTATATGTGGTTTTGAGTTCTAAATTTCTATCTAAAAATATGTAACTATTTCGTGGAATATGTAACATTCCACAAGAATTGAAATATTCAAATGTCCATAGTTGTTAGAAAATAACAGTTCCATTTTATGTTCTAAGGTGTTTGATACTCAGATAGTAATGTTAAGTTTACTACCTCCATTACAAGGTGTTGTTATTAAGCTTCTCTTCTGGATGTTTAACAACTGAGGTTAGGAGACCACAAATTAGAGAGATAGATGAGCTAATAGGATAGCCAATATTTTGGCCCTGTAGCTCTGAGGTCAGGACTCAGGACAAGCTATAATGCAGTTGAGTTCCCGATTTTCTGATCAAGGAGATTGTGGGGCTGCTGAAGAAAGTTTTCACTGATGTATAGTGTGTCTAAGGAGAGTGACCTGAAGAGAAAAAAAAATCTCTAAGCTTTCACAGAAAGCAACTTGGTCAAATAATGGCCATGAGTCATCCAGATGGTTGACACTGACAAAAAATATAAGAGGTGGTATACTTGGTTCCAAGGTAAATCCTGAGGAGATTTAACTGAACTTGTTAGATAGCAAAAGTTAAAATTTTATTTATACAGGTCTTGCTTTAACTTGGTCTTAACCATCCAGCAGAAAAGTGTAACCAAGAGATATAAAAAGCAATGCCATAATAATATATTAGCTGTAAAAGATTCAAATCACTAACAACTTTGGACAATTGCCAGTTGTACCAATAACTCACTACTGTTATGAAATATTGGACTTTATAAATTGCCGTATAGGGCTGGTGAGATGGCTCAGTGGTCTAAAGCACCTACTTAGAACAAGCTTAGCAAAGCCCAGGGACCGCGGTTCTATCCCCCAGCACCACATGCCAGCCAGCCCTGCCCCCTGGTGGGCTGAGCTGGTCACACACACACACACACACATAAAATTAAAAAAAAAAAAAAATTAAATTGCCAGCAACAAGAATTAAAAGGTCTTCTAGAGAGTTCTCCAAATGTAGTATCTCCAGCTGCAATGGAACACACACCATTTACACAACAAAACAAAAAAGGGAGAGATGTTGGGAGCTGCTGAAGCCGGAAGCCTCAAGTGTGTGAGTGCAGGACTAGCTGTTGTTGCCTAAAGCAGTCAAGCTATCTTAGTCCTGATAAAGCCACTTGCCTGCTCAATGTCAGCTATTAGCCACTAGGCAACCTTGTGTCATGTGAAACTAAATTTGTAAAGGTATAAATAAATGCCCCAACTGTTGTTCTAGGGGTAGTTTGCCAATCAGGTAATGGGGCCACCACATGACCCAGCTCTTGTACTCTTGTCTATCTTTTCCTCATTCCTGCCACCATATCTCCCTGTGGTCCCTGGAGAGAAAACTGGAGTCCTACAAAATATGCTTTTCACTTAAAAAAAAAAATCTCAATTTGTCATATGGTTTGATAGTTTCTGTAGTCCCTAACTTGTTGATTTTAATGATTTCTTTTTTAAAAAAATCATTTATTTATTTATTTATTTATTTACTTGGTACAGGGTCTTGCTATACAGCTTTGAGTCATAGTGATCTTGTCTCAGCCTTCCCAACGCTGGGATTATAGGCATGCACTGCCACACCTGGTTTTGGTGGCCAGTTTAGCACACCTGGAATTCTGGGGCTGGCATGGCATGTGGTACTGGGGATCTGAGCAGGGTCTTGCACTTGTCACACAGGTGCTTAGACTGCTGAATTATCTCCACAGCCTGATTTGAATGATTTTTACCTAGTTTTATACTTCTATTTTGTGAAAAGAATTTACTTCTTTCCATAGCCCACCACAACTCTATTTTCTTTTTTAATTTCTACATAATATTCCCTTTTATAGATGTGCCATAATTTACTTGACAAATTAGTTTTTTGTGTTTTTAAATATGTTTATAGCACTGATGCAATTCTTCTATATATAACTTTACTTGTGGTAATTTGTTAATCATCTAGATTCCTCCAAGTAGGATTGATGGACTAAAATATATAAATGTCTATAATTTTAGTAAGTAGTATCAAGTTAGTTTTTAATATTTGTACTTTCTAAATACTGTTAGAATAATCTTTCTGAGGTCCGGGAAGATGGCTCAGTGGAATAAGTGCTTCACTGGCAAGCGCAAGGGCCTGAATTCAATCCCCGGTTCCGCAAAAAAAAAAAAGAAAGAAAGAAAGAAAGAAAGAAAGAAAGAAAGAAAGAAAGAAAAGGAAAAATGAATACCCTTGAAAAAAATTGTACTTTGAGCCAGGTGCGGTGAAGAATAATCTTTCTGAAAGTCCTCTTATCCATTCTTTGCCTCTAGTATACATAGTTAGCCTTTAATATTTTTAAATACAATCTTTATATGTACTGTTATAGATGGTATATACTGTTTATATAATATATAAGGTTAATCTTTAATATTTTTAACATAAAAAATAAAATTGTCAGCTGGGCATGTTGATGCACATAGTCCCAGCACTTGGGATGATGAAGCAGGAGGATTACTGTGAATTTGAGGCCAGCCTGGCATACAACGTGAGTTAAAGGCCAGCCTGAGCTATGTAGTGAAATGCTGTCTCCAAAGGATGGAAAAAGAAAAAAAAAAAAAAAAGAAAGAAAGAAAACCAACATTGGCATATTTTTGTTTGTATTTATCTAATTACAGTTAGTTACAAATCTTTCCATATATTCTTACATTTTGTTTTGTTTTGTCAAGTGACATTTCATATCCTTTGCTTAAATTTCAGTTAGGTTGGTTGTCTTTGTTATTATTTTATAAAACTTTTGCTTTTTTAGTCATACTAAATTTTTATGCAATATGTTATAATTATTTTATACTGTCATTTACTTCTTTGTAGTTGTTTCTTGTCTTCAAACTATTGAAAGCTTGGTTTTATAATTTTTTGTTTTGTTTTGTTTTTTAAACAGAAAGTTGTACAAGGGATCAATTTAAGCCGGATTCGAGGACTTGGGTTTGATGCCACGTGTTCTTTGGTTGTCTTGGATAAGCAGTTTCGCCCTTTACCTGTGAACTGTGAAGGTAAGACCTTTCCTCTCCCTTCCCTGGTTATGGAAGGTGAGAAACTGGCTGGGAAACCCATCTGGTGATGAGTTCAGAGTGCCGGGTGCAACCAGGATCAGGTACCTCTTACCACTGAGAGGTTAGGGAGTGGAATGTGGAGGCCAGAAATCATGTTACAGGCATTCAAAGCTTGCAGAAAGGTTGGAATGAGAGACTCTGGTGGCTTTGGGAGATGTGTCAAGGAGGGTGCTTTGCTCTACAGCGTCTAAGAACTATGGTAGTTGCTGATGAAAAAATGGGCTTTTGGTCATTAGATGGGTAGGTATGTCCTGAGCCTGTCCTGTTATTTCCCTTTGGGTAAGGGAGTGTTAGGACTTGCACTTGTTTAGTTTACAAAGCTTCCATTTGCTCATTTGAGAGGGTGAGTTGACTACAATATAAAGAAGTAGAACAAGGCAGATAGGACTATATATCATAAGACAATCACACTTATGCTGGTGTTCTGATAATCAGTCCTTTTGACTTCAGTAATGAGCTGTTTCAAATGTGAACTGCCACTGGGGCTCAACATCAGAGATTTTGGGGGGAAATTTTAGTCAGTAGTACTAGCACTAGTATTAAACACCCAAAGTCTATGTTAGGCAGTAATGTAAATGAATAAAGTTTGAAAAAAAAAAAACCCAGCACATGCATGATGATAAACTATTGATAGCCTACTTTATATTAAGTGGAAGACACTGGAGGTGGTGGAAAATGTGTGATGCACTGGAAATTAGATGTTCCATCTGAGGAGGCCTGGTTCTAGGCATTATCCTTCAGCAGCTGCCAAGATAGCTATTATGAACATATTTTTGGCTGGATTCTGTTTTAGAACTTTGGCTATGGACACTGCTGTAGTAAATAGTGCCTTTCTCTCTGATGACTGTGGTATAGTTTAGCAGGGTTCACAGGGAAATACAGGAATTGGAATCACTCAAGTACCAGGTCTCAGCTCCTCTGATGCTCAGCTGTGATAATTTGGGTGAGTTACTTAATCTCTACATGTCTCAGTTTTGAAATAATGGAACAGTAGCTTTGCTGTGAGGAGTCAGAGCTTGATAGTTTAAGCTGAGGAAAGTTTCATTTATTGACCTGTGGATTCTTCAAGTTGAGGGAATATGTTCCATTTATATCCTCAGACCTAATGCTTGGAATATGGATTATCATAAATGACAAATACTGAAAAAGCATGCAAACAGATAAATAGCTAGGACACAGTGGGATTGATGATGATGTGCTAAGCTCTGTCATATTAAGTGTTGGGGCTCTAAAGGTCAACTGAGTGGTTCTTTCCCTCAGTGGAAATATGCTGGCACATTTGCATTGTGCTGGTGGGGAGCTAAGGCAGCCTCAACCTAGGCAACTTCAGAGAGTGGAGTCTGAGGATGGTGGAATCTAACCAGCCTCTGCTCGGTACTCTAGGGTAGAGCTGCTACTCCTTAGCTGGCAGGGTCCTGAGAGGGTGTTTGGGAGTGTAAGAAAAAACTAGACACATATGAAAAGGACATCTGGGACTGGGCAGGTGCTGACCTCTCTGATGTAGAGGTGGTGATAACACACAATGCTCTGCATCTTTATTTATACAGAAAAAAAAAAGAAGTGGAGAAAGCACATGGTGGGACCAAAGTGCAAGGTCTCAGTTTTTCTGAGAACACTGAAAGCAAAACATTCCCAGAGCTTTCTTTCTGTGCTATAGTTAAGAGGGAGGAACAGCAAGGCCAGATTTTTACTGATATGCCACTGAGATAGGGGTCAGCTTATTTACATGGTTTGCCTCTGGGAGCCTGTGTTTTTGAGGCTGGCTCTCTCTAGTCCTGAATGTATGGTTGATCTCCGGTTCAGCTATGGCTCCGCTGCTCCCCACAGGATAGGCCTTGAGGGAACTACCAGTGCTTCTTTTATTGGTTTTATTTGAATAAAAATTGAATGATTGTTAGGGATGCTGATGATCAGAGTCCTAAATATGTGGGAATCTATACTGTCTGATCAATTAAAATATGAGTTCATGTTCTAAATTCTACCTGTGCATGCATTAGTACCACCTGGAGGTCATTTTTAAAATTGCCATTCATGCATCTTACTTTCCACATTTGTATTAAGTTGGCTTGGTATGAGTTTAGGGCAGTGATGGTGAACCTTTTAGAGCTTTCAATGATTCATGCAGCTGGCTGTGATACATGTAGTCTAGGTTCGCCACCACTGGTCTAGGGTATCAACATATTTAAAAAGCGACCTTAGTAATTTTGATCTGTGGAGAATCACCAGGCACAGGTGAACAGACAGTTAAATTATTAGGAACAGATTTTGGGAGTGGAAGAAGAGAGTTCCTTGTTGAACCTACTTAAATAGGTATCCTTTCTAATTGCCATCTTGTATTTTTCTTGGTGGATAGAATTGCTACCTGTTAAGAAATCCTTTATTAAAAGGGAAGCTATATTGTAACCCCTATTATTATTATTATTATTATTATTATTACTACTACTATTATTATTATTCAGTATAACTATGCTTACAGAAATATGTTGATATGGGTTAAAAGAATGCACTTTAGCTTATCCTATATAATTTTTTTTTTTTTTTGGCGGAACCGGGGATTGAACTCAGGCTGTTGCGCTTGCCAGAGAAGCGCTTATTCCACTGAGCCATCTCCCCGGCCCCTATCCTGTATAATTTAAACCAAAAAGTTGGTGCATCATTTTAAGATTTTTAAAAAGGGCTGGTCAGCTCTGCCTCTGGGGTGTGCTGAGATGGGGATTAAGACTGGGTGTGGTGGCACATGCCTGTATTCCCAGCACTTGGGAGGCTGAAAACAGGAGGATCACTATGAGTCTGATCTGTGTAGTGAGACCCTGAACTAAATACATTTAAAAAAAAGTTTTTGAAAAGAATTTGCAATCTATTTTATTTTTATCTGTTAAAATGTATAAAAGATCCTCCATCAAATGATGCTAACTAAAGGGGCCGGGGAGATGGTCAGTGGAATAAGTGCTTCCCTGGCAAGCGCAAGGGCATGAGTTCAATCCCCAGTTCTGAAAAACAATCAAACAAACAAACAAAACCCTTGAGAAATAGACATTTTGTTTACCTCAGAAAAGTAACAAATATTGCACTATAAATTTCACAAAATTGGTACAACAAAATATTGTTGTAATGATACCATGCTAGTTTACAAAGTTCAGTATCTACTGGATATGGAAGGGGGAGGGAGCCTATGTGTACACATAGAACTGTAAAAGCTATCTGTTTTACTGTTGAAGTAATTTTATTCCACCTAAAATGTTAAAATATACCTATTTATCGGTTGTGTCCAGCTGTGGATTTTCACAGATTGTATTAACTTAGATTTTAGCGGACAAGATTACTTGTGCTTGAAAATTAAATTAGAATTTTAAAGATGATTTATAGATTCTTTAAAGATCTGCATGAGGGGCACCCACTGTAGTAACTGAGAGGAGCAGTGAGTGGGGTCAGGAAGAGGACAGGTCTCCTTCTCATTGTTGATGCCAAACTCAGGATGTTGGTGAAACTGACATCTTAATTTTGTTTTGTGGAACCAGGGATTGAACTCAGGCCCTTGTGCTTGCCAGGAAAGTGCTTATTCTACTGAGCCATCTCCTCGGCCCCTGACATCTTTTTTTTTTTTTTTGTTGCTCGAATGCCTTCAGGGCACTTTTTGGCCAGCGGGAGAGGTGTGAGGTTCGAACTCCAGCAACCTGAGGCTGACAGCTTTGTGGAAGCAGCCACTTAAAGGCCTGAGCTAGGGCCAGGCCCCCGGCCCCTGACATCTTTAAATGTCAATAAAAAAATGAAAACCTGGAACACATTAAGTACAGTAGTTTAAGAGCACTAAGCATTATTATGTGATAAAGCAGCTTCACTCTTAGCCTCTTCTGGCCTGGTTTTTCTTGCTTTGAGGATTACCACAGGCCTGAGTTAGTCATACGTTCACTCGGACTCACTCCCCTGAAGCCTCCTAGATCTCTACCTAACTCCTGTCAAGTCTTCTGGGATGGGGGAAGAAGCAATGGTGATAATTGGGGCTAAGGTGGGAGTTAAGGATCAGACTGCTCAGTATATTAGAAGCCTAATATCTGATATTTTTGCTGAGTCATAATATTTTTGGTCTCAAGTTGCTGGGAATTTGACCTGGGAGGTGCCTACAATTTTAATTGCATGATACCTGATGAATAATATACCTTAGGTAAAGCTGACTTTATAATTTTACTTCTGCTGTACTGGGTTCTCCTAAAATGGGCCATCTTTTCTGGTTTGTGCTGTTTCACATGCTGTTTCTGTTATGATGCATCTCTTTCTTCACTTCTCCATGGCTGACCAGAATTGAATGAAAGTTTTTCTGTCTTCTGGAAGATCTGCATGTAGCAGACTCAGGCTGCTGGAGCTGAGCTCCTTTTCTATTTATCCAGGCCTGGTACTGTATTCTGACAGTCAGTACCCTAAACAGACTGCTTTTCCTTTTGATACATGCTACGCATGGACAGATGTTAAGGTATATTCTTCTTGATATATATTTTTTAAATTTTATTTGCATTTATTTTATGCTTAATTTATTCCTGTGCCGTAAGTTTTTGTTTCTTCAGTTTCTTCTGGGATATCTTTTTCTTCTGTGCAACTTCCTCCTCTGGTTTAGGAGTAATTTGTTCCTTTTCAGTAAGGATCATCTCAATATGGCAGGGGGAGCTCATATATGGATTTATCTGGCCATGAGCTCTATAAGTACGGCAGCGCATCTTGGGTGCTTTGCTCACCTGCTTATGTTCAATAACCAGAGAATCTATATCTAAACCTTTAAGCTCAGCATTACTCTCTGCATTTTTAAGCATGTGCAGCAAAAATTCAGCACTCTTTTTGGGCCCCCGACCCTGTGTCCAGCCCCACTGTTTGGCCTGGGCACACCTACCAACTCCACCATTGTGACGCAGGAATGGCTCACATTGCTTCTTTAATGTGATATCCTTGAGATACTTGGTGGCCTTTTGGATATGCATACCTTTGATGGCCTGGGCAGTTTCACATGTGTTCTTAAAGTGAACGCAAAGATTTGAGCCTCTTGATTTGCATGATTTTGTGGGGTTTTCTGGGTAGAGAGAGTAGCAAACCATTTTCACAGGTCACCTAAGGCCGCTCACAGGAAGAGCTTCTTGATATCTTGGCACTAAGCTCTGTATCAGAAATGTAGTAGATGCTCAGTAAAAGATGAAGTCACTTGACTTTCTATGAGAACTGAAGATGGACTCTTTAGTTTTTTGTCTAAATGAGAGTAACCCAGGTAAGGTAGTACAGTCTCTGGGAGGCTGAGGAAGAAGGGTTGAAGTTTGAGCTCCATCTGGACAGCTGAGCAACTTAGGAAGAATCTGTCTGAAAAGAACTTGAAAAATGCTGGAAAAGAGGGCTGGGGTTGTGCCCCCATGCAAAGGTCCTAGGTTCATTCCTCCATATTGGAAAAAAAGAAAAAGTTACAGATGATTCTCTTGTACACCAAAAGCTGAAAACCAGAGCCTTGCAGATATTCTGTTATACAGTAGAACCACTCTCATACTTAAAAATGTGCTTTTCAAAATATGTCTATGGAATGTCTCATGTGTTCTTCCTTATTGTCCAAGTACATTAAAGCTGTTGTTGGAACTTGAAATCTTTCTAGTTAGGCAAACAAGTGACCGAAATTTTGCTTTGCAATTTTTTCCTTATTTAGATACTTTCTTTGGTCAACCTTTATTTCTTTATTTATTTTCAAATTTATAAATTATTTTCAAAGAAATAGAAGAGTTTACAAGCAATCTTTTATATATCCATTATTGAGGATAACCCTGAGATTTTGCTATGATTGCCTTAGATCTTTTTGAGAGGGATGGAGAGACAGATGGAGAGATTCTAGGGAGGAGGCTAATGAAGGCATGACGATATGTTCTGCACACAGGCCAGCTCCCCATAGAGTGTAGACATGATATATTTCCATAAACTATGTAAAAAAGAGAATGAAGTGTACCTTTAGTCCTTTTCCCCAAACACCCTTGCTAATTGCTGCTCATAAGTACATTGTTTTTGTGTTTTTATTACATATGTATGTAGTTATACCAAGAACCTGTATTCTGTATTGAAATATCTCACTAATGTTGTATTCATGTTGCTGTAGCTAACTCTGGTTTATTTATTTTACTGATTTATTTATTTTGTTGGCAGATGTGGTGCTAAGGCACACTTCATATATTCAGCACTGCAAGATACTGGGTTGAAGCCGGGGAGATAGCTCAGTAGAATAAGCACTTGCCTGGCAAGCACAAGGTCCTGAGTTCAATCCCTGGTACCACCAAAAGTAAATAAAGAAATAAATAAAAAGTACAGATTTGGGCTGGGGAGATGAGATGGCTCAGTAGAATAAGTGCTTGCCTGGTAAGCACAAGGGCTTGAGTTCAATCCCTGGTTCTGAAAAAAACCAAAAAGATACTGAGTTGATTGTCAAACCTTAGAACCTCAGTCTGTCAGAAATGGGCTTAACAATCCTCATAGAAAGAATTGTTTAGCACAGGGAGTCACACAAACCGACATCACAAACACTTCCTCCTATGAAGGTATAGTTGTTCCATTTATTTCACCATCAGTTAATGGGTGAAAATGCCTAGTTCTGTAACTGTTGGGTCCCTATTGTCCTCCATGAACATCTCCCATGTGTGTTCATGCTCCCCTACTCTCCGGGCCTCAGGAGGTATCAGAAGTGGTAAAAGGAGTACAGCTTGCCTATCAGTGCATGAAGAAGTCACAGAGGCTGGGAAGGGCAGAGGGCACAGTTCCAGTGCTCTGTGGGGTAGAGGACCGAAGAGGCAGGATGTGAGGGCCAGGGCTCCAGCCAGTTCAGACTCTTGTCCTTCTGATTACTTCCCTTTGCCTTGTACTGATAGGTACTTGCCACATCCCCTTCTGTGCATAACCTTTTATTTAGTGTAGCATGAAGGATCTCAGGTATTGTTATCCCAGGCACAGACAAAGACACAGACAACTTTCTGAATATGTCTCCCACAACAACTTAAGTGTCATCATTTATCATTCAGTATGCTTATTCTAGAACTCAGGTGCTAGCTGTCCATCAGTGGAATGAAGCAAAAACTCCTGAATGAACTAATTTAGATAAATGGACTAGAGAAAGTGGGCATATAAGCAAATGAATTAAGTGTACTATGCAGAGAGAAGTATTATACTGTCCAAATGTTTGTCCCTATTTAATGTATACTTCTAATTCTTTTTCCAGTACTGGTGATCTAAAAGTATTTTTTCAGACAGGGTCTCACAGTGTAGCTCTGGCTGGCCTAAACTCACCAAATAGCTCAGTCAGGCATTAAACTCATGGCAATCCTTCTGCCTCAGCCTCCAAAGTGAGGACATTGCAGGATGTACTGCCACAACTGGCTAAAGTACAGAAATCTTTGAAAAAGACACTATGTCCTTTTCAGCTCTTTTTTCTCAATGTATGTCCTGAAAAATTTTTCCAGAGTTGAAAGTGAAAGGAAAATTAAAATTTTAAATAACAGTCTTCTAAGAAAGCCTATCACGAATGCCTACCAAAACTGGGTAGACATGTTCAGACAAACCTGATAATAAAACATTCCTTTTTTTTTTTTGCTTGTTTAGCTTGACTTGCAGGGTAAATTCAAATATAATGAGACATTTCTTCTTTTATGCAACCCATTGCCATTTAACTGGTGGCCTTGCAACATTACTTCAGATGTTTAAACTCCCTTAGCAGCCCATGATATCCCCCAACCCTACCATCACAATGTGCCAAATCTACCTCTGCGCCTCCCCATTTGCTTTCCCTATAAAAGCACCCAAAACCCCTCCATGTGGGGCTCTGATTCCTTACGAGCAATCCCAATCAAGCCCATCATTGTAATAAACTGCCTCCTAAACCTTCTTAGCAACCCAATCAAGACCATCACTGTAATAAACTGCCTCCTAAACCTTCTCAGTACCATTTCTTCCCATGCTTGGTCTGTTTTCCATAACAAAAGAATGGGAATGGAAGAGAAAATGTTGAGAGCATGAATAATGATATAATGCACTGGTGGATTTCAACTTTTAACCCTGAGGTATGATCAGTAACACATGGCTGGGTGGCAAGTAAGGGTTTTGGTTGTGGTGCAGTAAGGGTCCTACAGTATCCTTTCATTTTGTTCATTTCTGATACACAAGGTTAAAATAGAGGTTGTGTGTGTTTTGTCCTGGGCATTTGTCATTGGGCAAAGAATGCAAGTCTATCCTCGTCTCTATCCATTTCTGCTAGGGGATTGCCATCGAAACATCATCATGTGGCTGGACCACCGAGCTGTCAGTCAGGTCCAAAGGATCAACGAGACCAAGCACAGTGTTCTTCAGTATGTGGGGGGCCTGATGTCTGTGGAAATGCAGGCCCCAAAGCTCCTGTGGCTAAAAGAGGTGAGTGTACAGGGTGCGGGGAGGGTGCTAGTGTTAGAGTGTTCCTTCGCTGTGCAATAACAATTTCCTGATAAAATCTGTAATGTTTGCTTTTTCCCAGCTACTCTGAGGAGAAGGCTGATCCTAACTTGTTGGTTAGATGCAGCTGAATCACTCCAGTTTTCATATGTGTACATGAGACCAGGCTCTGTGATAAGTATTTTACATGGTATCTCCTTGAATCCTAACGAGTTTGAACCTAAGACTAACTGACACCAAAATCAATTCTCTTTAATGTCTAGCACTCTGCTTCAGTTCAGAGAGGTTAATTACCACCATAGTTGGGAAGTGGCAGACCTGGGATTTAAGTCCAGATCCTCTGCCCAGAGCCTTTCATTGGTGTCACTTTTATCTCCACCTTATTACTTCTGGGCCTCTGTGACATTTTAGGGTATCTCTTTCTCATCTCACCTGTGCTTGGTGATGTGGTGATCCCTGGTTAGGGTACTTGCAAATAGTTCTTGTTTCCAGATGTCAGGCTCCTTATGCAGTGTGGAGAATGGTGATGTCAGCTTAATGCCTCCTGTTCATGATGGATGTGTGGGAAAGTTCAAGTCCTTTGGGAACTTCAGGGACTTGAAAACTGCTACTTTGTTAGTGGCGAGCCCATGGCTTATGTGCTGCAGTGGGCTGTTTGCTATCACTGAAAGTTGTCCAAGGTTTGCCATCTCTGCCCTGGGTGGTCTGGTGACCAGAGAATCCATTTGAGGAGCAAGACCTGAAGTGATTCATCTGTTGCCAGTAGGTTTCAGGTGGTCTCAGTCATCCATTTTTCAGATTGTGTGTGGAGACTGGGAGCTAAGAGTGCTTGAGAAGCTGTCCCAGCATGGTTACTATGGGGGAGAAAAAAGGGCTTTGTTAATTAGAGATTTTATAAATTTTAAGCTGTAGAAAGGCTTCTTCTATACTTGCTGAGATTGAAAACAGTTTCTTAGAAGTCAAGGATTTTATAAATGTGATTCTAACTCTGTCAACAATTATGTGCCTTCTTGGGCACAGAATCTCAAACCCTAGCCTCTTTTCCATCTATATGATTAAGAGTTGGATGAGGTCAGTTTGAAAACCTGAGCCAAATACCCTTTGAAACATCAGTCAGAGTACATCTCTGTGCTGCTCTGTACTCTGATGTGTGTTTTACCCACTAATCTTTTTAATCCTAACAAGCACTGGCTGGTAGGTAGCATGGGAAGTTGAGCCTGAGAGAGGATATCTGACTTCCCCTATTACGCATGACTTTCTCCATTACGTGGTAGAGCCACAGTCTAAACTATGTATGCTAGGCCTGACCCTACTCATGCTGCTGTGTCATACAGTACTGAAATCTCTGTGGAGCATGGCACTTGGGATGGGATCAGGAACTATGATCATATTCTGTGAAAGATGACCGAAACTTATTCCTAAAGAAGAAATGGGTTGTATATAACACAGAAAGAAGCGTTCTATGAGTTAGACAAGTAGGACTGGACAGGTGCTTGTGGATTCATCTCAGAATGGACAGAGCCCAGGCTGTGTGGCCATTGTGGCTGTATGTCTCACAGGGTCTGCAGGTACATCCTGTAAGAGCCATGCTGGTGCTTACCACCTTGCTCTTGAAATTAATCTGCACTGCCTTAAGCCCATAGAAAATGTTTCTAGAAGGGGCTGGGGAGATGGCTCAGTGGAATAAGTGCTTCTTTGGCAAGCGCAAGGGCCTGAGTTCAATCCCTGGTTCCGCAAAAAAAAAAAGAAAAGTTTCAGGTTATATGGTAGTGTTACTCCTAAAAGTATCTTCTTCTTCTTTTTTTTTTTTTTTTTTGTGTGTGTGTGTGTGTGTGTGTGTGTGTGTGGCCAGCTCAGCCCACCAGGGGGCGGGGCTGGCTGGCATGTGGTGCTGGGGGATTGAACCGCGGTCCCTGTGATTTGCTAAGCTTGTTCTAAGTAGGTGCTTTAGACCACTGAGCCATCTCACCAGCCCCTATAAGTATCTTCTATTAAATAATTTTATAAAATAAATTCCCTTTTGAAACTTTGTCATGCTCTAAACATTATCACAAGGAGGAATTCTTGCTGAGAGTCTCTTTGGTTTTAGCATGATTATAATTCACAATTAAAGATCAGTATTGGTAAAGATCAGCCATCTGGAGATAGCTTATAGTGCTTCCCATTTTTAATGTGTAAACAAGTCACTTAGAGATCTGGTTAAACCCAGCATTTTGAATCAGCATGCCTGCGGCAGGGACTGAGAATTTGAAACCTGTCATTTCTAACAAGTTGCTAAGTGATGCTGATATTGCTGGCCTGAGGACTTATATAACCACTTTTCATTTTAAAAGTTCTGCCCTTATACCCTGAGGAAAAGCATTCAGAGAGTTAGGAGTGTACCTTTTCTTTGTGAGACGGTGGTAAGCCAGGAAGTGAGATGGTTCAGAGCTGCTCAGATGCATATTAGGAGTAAGAACGTGCAGCTCCGTGTTCTGAATTCAGTGAACTGTCATTTGTTTACTTTTTATTGAATCCTTAATTTTCAGATCCTAACTGAGCCCCTGCTATGAGTTAGCAACTTTTGTAGACATCAGGCTTATGGAAACAAAAAGGATTCAGCTGTACCCTAGAGGGACATAGAGTTTCCTGAGTGCAGTGGAAGGAGGGCGTGAGGAACCGGGTGGACAGAAACAGTCATGGGAAGATGTAGTGTGCATAATGAGACAGGAACATACTCAGTGGTTTGGGAGAACATAATTTAGTTCCTGGGAGAAAGCAGTGTGATATAAGCCTTATGATATGAGTAGAGGTTTGCCGAGTAGAGAAGACTAGAAGGATATTCAAGAGAGAGCCTGTGCTGAGGTTATGATGGTGTATGCAGATAAGAGGGAAGAGCTCGGGCCTTAGGAAAGTGGGCGCTGAGGTCAGGTAAGTAGCCTGTGTTCAGGGTTTTTTGTTTGTTTTTTGAGACAGACTCACCCTGTGGTTCAGGGTGTCTTTGAACTCATTGTGTAGCCCAGGCTGGTGTCAAATTGAAGGTGAGCCTCCTGCCTCAGGCTCCAGAATACTGAGTTTATAGACATGTGCCACCATGCCCAGTTTAGGTCCAGTTTTTAAGGGCTTCTTTGGTAATGGAGATTGGATGATTTTTTTTTTTTTTGCGAAACTGGGGATTGAACTCAGGCCCTTGCGCTTGCCAGGAAAGCGCTCATTCCACTGAGCCATCTCCCCGGCCCCTGGATGATTGTTGTTAAGTAGAGGTAAGAATGTCTTGGGGGGCCTTCCCCTTAGCTCAGTTCTTTAAGTGGTTGCTTCAACAAAGCAGTCAGGCTCAGGTTTCTGTGGTTCAATCCCCACAACTCAAGCCACCCAAACCTGCCCTGAAGGCATTTGGAGAAAAAAAAAAAAAGAATGTCTTAGGTAACTTTGGTAGAGATATGGAGATTAGAATAAGGGCATATGTGTAAGAACCAGAGTTTTCTCACTCTGTTAATGGTACTACTTTGATGGCTTTGTATGGCTCCTTAGAATAAAAGCCAGAATTGGTGACAGTACTCTGAAGGCTGAGGCAGGAGGTTCACCTTCAATTTGACACCAGCCTGGGCTACACAGTGAGTTCAAGGACACCCTGAACCACATGGTGAGTCTGCCCAGAAGATGGTGTGTGATCTCCTTTTTTACCCCACCCCTCACCCCAAAGGTGTCCCCCCCTCCAAGTTGCTCACTCTAATCCAGCCACAGGGATCATTCAGACTTCCTGAAGCACAGCCAGTTCCTCATGACTGGGAGTCTTATCTAAGCGTCCGTGAGAACTGTGGCCTGGTTGACTTCTTGTGCCTGAATAGCCAGGAAGCCAAGAATGGTTCAAAGCATTGAGGAAAATAAAAAAATACAATTGATTTATGAAACTCTACAAAATTACATATTTAGTGGGGTGTTTTATATTTTATGTTTTATGTTTTTATAGCCACACTCATTCCTTTCTGTGTTGTCTATGGCTGCTTTTGCGTGACAGCAACTAACTGGGATCATAAGCTTAGTACCAGTAACAAACTCAATAAGGGAAGCTTGACATAAAAGAAGATGATTTATTCAGAAAAAGGGGGAGTGAAAGGAGAAGACAGGCAGTTAGTTCAAAGAGTAGAGGCCGTGGAAAGGTGGATACCCCTAGACCTTGTCCCTGGATCCTTTTATTAAGATTAGCAATCTTGGGGCTGGGGAGATGGCTCAGTAGAATAAGCACTTCCCCAGCAAGCGCAAGGGTCTGAGTTCAATCCCCGGTTCCGAGAAAAAAAAAAAAAAAAAAAAGATTAGCAGTCCTCCCCCCTTTGTGGGCACCTGGAACTTGTCAAATTCTGATTGGTTCTCTGGCTGTCTACAACTCTAACCTGGGCAGCTTTGCCTGCATTTCTTCTGGTCATTTGATTCCTTCCTGCCCTTATGTGATATAAACTGGGAAGGGAGCTTATAGAAAGACAGAGTTAGTGATTAAGTAAAGTGGTATGTGTGCATCTAAGCAATAATATAGTTACTCTAGAGTGAGAATAGGCATACATGTATGAATGTATGGGTGTGTCTTTTTGTGTGCTAAGAAGTTTAAGATGCCCCCCTCCCCATCTCCTTTGAATTTTATTGGAGGTGGGTAAGGGGGCTGGTTACCCAGGTATCTCATGTTCTGCTTTATCTGTGCTCTGTCAACTCTTTCTGATAAACTCTCATGTTAGTTGTGTTACCTGGTGCCTTACCAGGTCTGGTTTCTCTCTTTACCTTTGTCTTTCTAATTGTTGTAGTCTAACTGCAGAGAAACTGCTTTTAGTATGATTCTCTATTAATTTCTTTAATAAAGCTTAGTGAGGCCCTTATTTTCTTTTCAAAGTTTTATTGATAAACAGATAGCAATGAGACAGTTTCAAATCAAATCAGAAGTATAGTTTCAACAAATAATACACTGCATATATTCTTCTTAGTGGTTAATTGCTGTACAAGATGCGGACTTGTGA